TTTCTTTTCTTTTTGGTAGAGACATTTCGCTGCTTGTCCAAGTAGCGAAATGTCTCTACCAAAAAGAAAAGAAATTCAGTTGCCATGACTCAACCTCCAGACAATTCCACCTGGATGACTGAGAATCTTCATAAACATATTGCTGTGAGATATAAATGAAATAAACAAATAGGTCTGTATTTTGCTGTTTCTCAGATCAACTTCATTTTTCTTCTCATTGTCTCATTTTTAAAAAATATTTATGACATAATAGTCAGTACAGGATAAATATTAACGATGTTTAATTTTCTATTTCTTAGTTCAGTATCTACCAGCATCAATGCATTAGCTGCTGTAACTTTAGAAGATTTTATTAAGCCTTATTTCACACTGTCTGAAGAAAAGTTATCATATGTTTCCGTGGGAATGAGTAAGTTTACCTTTGGTATTTTCTCTACTTCGAAAATTGATTCTAATTTTTATTCAACTTTTAATCCAGGTATGCACAATTTTCTGAACTGAAGGCTGGATTTAGTCTTCGACTGAAATGATCAGGGCCATAGTCCAAAAGGTAGATGGACACAAAGAAGTGAGTGAGGACAGGCCAAAAGTCAAATTTTATTTAATATTAATATAATTTATGTGTAAATGCTATAAAATCTTATTAAGAATAGTTGCTATGATTATTTCTCCTTTTAATATCTTTCTGATTTGTCATATTAAAGTATAATTCTAGGCAGCTCTGAGGATTCTATTTGAAGCATTTGAAGCTATAGATGGCCCTTAGTTCCAAAGTTGTGCACCCTGATTTATTTTTTAAGTATGTTATTGTGCTAAATTACCATAGCAAAATATAGTCTACATAAATGTAAAATATTGATGGTAATAAAAACTGTAAGGAGAAAAAAAAGTGGAGTTAAAAAAGATTATAAACAGAACATTTCCAAATACTTTGATCATATTATTTAAAATCTTTCTTCATTTACGCTTTTGTCAAAAGAAACACAGAACCAAACATTGACAGATAACACAAATTTACAATCCATGGTTTTAAGTCAAGATTTTTCCATCTACTGAGGCATACTAACTTTTTTTTTGGCCATACCCCATCCCTTAAAATCATCAGTTAAATTTTGTATAAAATCGGCTTGCAAAAAGAGTAGTTAAATTAAAACAGCATTGGTAAAGTAAAACATGCAGTATTTTTGAAATGCATTGATTAAATTGTGTGTTTATTTTATTTATTTATTTATTCAATTTGTATGGTTGCCCATCTCAACAAATGACTCTGGGCGGCAAACAATATTAAATAAAAACAATTCCAACCCCAAGTATAAAAATTAAAATATACAGCGGCCGAGGAAGGTATCACAGTTGAGAGTTCCTAGCACAGCTAGGATGGGGCCCTGCACACATATAGGGCCCCAGTTAAATGGCTAACTGTAAGAGCTTAAAAAAAAAATCTGATTCTGTAGGGCTGATCAATATATGTTTCATATGCACCACCGGGCAGATCTTTATATATCTAAATCAATGTCTAACAATTAGTAGTTTGATTTTTTTTTTTTTTGGCCAAGAGAAAAACATGGCTTTTTATTGGTTATCCTGGAAGCAACTAATACTGGGATCCTCTGCCTAATAGTATCAATGGTTTGTATAAATCATATAAACTTCATATAACTTTATTGTCTAGGTCTATTATTTGGTATAGGATGCCTTTCCATGGCTGTATTATCATCAGTTATGGGTGCTTTATTACAGGTAAGATCTTAATGGCTTCTTACATTAATCTAAAATAAGTTTATATTTAACATATATTTCCAAAAATAATGTCAACGTTAATAGTTTAGAGTTCTGCTGGTAGTGCAGAAGCAAAGCATTTACCATTGCCTCCATTTTCCCAATGCAAATCTTTGTATGATTTAATTTCTTAGTTTCTTCCATTAATTACTAATCTATGTTTTATGCTTTCTACCTATGAATGATACATTTATGGAAGAGTCTTTGATGAAGAAATTTGTCAAGAGCTTTTTAAAAGTCCATCGCTCTTATCAACACACTTACTGATACTCCTGAAGAATTCTGAAAAGTTCCCCCATGATTTGTTCTCCTGATTTCAGTATATCTGTCTTAGCTATTTTAGTCTGGATCCAACCCAATGGCTTCAGTTTGTTGGGTATAGGTACCTTCAGGATGCCCACTGTGAGTAGAAGAAATGAATGGTTGTTTTCTGTATTTATAAAAAGTGTGTAATTTTCTTTTGCTTCTTTTAGGCTGCGCTCAGTGTTTTTGGATTAATTGGAGGACCTTTATTAGGAATATATTCTTTGGGCATCCTATTTCCTTTTGCAAATTCTAAAGTAAGTGCTGGTTACATATCCTATTGATATTAAATGGAAGAGTACGTAGAATTATTCTCTAACAGTTTTTTATTTTAAAGAGTATACAGTATATTACTTATGTCTTCATTCCTGATAGCTTTATAGAAGTATGTACGTTTTCAAAAAAAATTTGAAGCCAGGAATAAAGATAGTCAGGATCATCTACTCCCACTCCCTTCTCCTTCCTGCATGCAATATTTCTCTGCTTCTTATTCTTTTTTGAAGCAAATCATAGAATTCCAGTAGAACCAGCAAAGTATTTTTACCTTAAACCAACATAGAAGCCCAGTGTATAATCAGGGGGGCAAAAAAGAAAAAAAGTGAGACCATACTCTTGAATTTACAGACTACAGAACAACACTGTATATCCAAACTACCTCAGAATCTAAAAGGCTGAGTAATAATAGTCTGCTTAATCTGAAAAATGTGTTTTACTAGATGTAAAAACTTATATAAGCAAGGCATAGCTGGTGAAAATCAGATTGAGGTTTGTTTTTTGTTTTTTCCTTTTTGCAGGGCCAGAGTCTAGATTGCCAAGAGTGAATAATTAGAAGCCTTCTGGCACAAATTATTTGAAATGGTAGACCAACCCAAATATGGGATACTCATATATAACATTTCAAACAGTGTGTATTACTTTCCTCATACTTCCTTGGCTTACAAGATCTTGCTGTCGAAGCTTCCTGGAAAAAATGCTTTTGCTAGTAGAGTGACAAATTTAAACACACTATTTTTTTTCTTACCACCAGTGCTTTCATTTAATATTAATATAGAGTCAATTCTACCATAAAGATACTTGAATGCAGCAAAATGAAGTCCCACATGTTTTTTGAAGATTTCTTCAGAAATAAATTGACTGGATAAAAGCCAATAAAATAGCAATTCTGGTTAAATAAAGAAATTGGCTTATTAGAGCAAGCCTATTCACTTGGCAGTTAAAAGCAGGCTTCAAGTACAAAATTCCATGTATTCCTCAGCATGCACGTAGATCTTGTTCCTTTACAGGTTTCTTCTTGTATATACAAGTGGGTCTGCCTCCTCCATTGTAACAAAAGGGCGCCTGTAATTGCAGTAGACAGCTGGATTGAGGGCAGAAGCCATGCATGAGCAGGTTGCATGAGCTTCCAGTTATAAAATTAGAGTTAGGGATATCTCTTCTGTTAATGTTACACTTAAACTGTATGTAATTTTCTGCTTCTCAGGGTGCATTCTCAGGTTTTATTTGTGGATTTTGTCTAATAATGTGGATTGGAATTGGTGCTCAGAAATACCCACCAGCACATCACAGGACAATGCAATTACCTCTTTCAACTGCAGGCTGTCAAAGATCCAATGTCAGTGCATTGGTACCATTAACAGTTACTAGCCCTTCACCAGCTCCTCCAAGGTATGCCCAAGAAATCAGCCCTTGATTTAAATATCCTTGGATGTTGTATGTAGTATTAGTTTTGGTATTGTATATATACATACATGTGTGTGCATGTACGTGTGTTCCTTTGTTAGATTTATATTCTGCCTTTCATTCTGGAGCACAAGCAGCATACATACCACTCCCTCCTCCTATTTTTCCAAAAACAACCCAAAGACCTTTGGGCTGAGAGACAGTAACTGGTTCAAAGTTGCAAGTCAGTTTCTGTGGCTAGAGGGGAGCCTAGAACATGAGTCTTTCTAGTGCCAGTCTAGCACTTTAACCACCACACCACATTGGCTGCCGGTGGAAGTGCCAACTTTCTGGGAGGCAGGGCAATATGGCAACAGAGTAACAGCTCTTTTAGTAACCTCCTTTTAAAAAAAAATTTTTTTTTATTGTTAGAATAATGAAATACAAATGAAAAAGTCAACGTTAGATAGTAACAGTTGAATAGCACAAAAACCTACTAAGCATAAATAAAAACTTCCATTTGTTTCCCAGCTGCTAACCAGAATCTAGATATTTATACTTTACGCTGAACATTAAAGATTATTGCTAGTATCTGTGTAAGTCCTTTCATCTATTATTTTTATTGGTCTCATATTTTATTCCATATTCCATATGTCTGAACATCTAACCACTGCTGTGTAATGTGTAGTATATATGGGAGTCATTCTTACTTAAATAGACTTTCATTGCTGCATATTCTCCAAATTCTAATGTCATCAACAGGGCTCCTCTTTTCCAATGTTGTGCCAAATTTGTTCTTGCAGCTGGCAACATATATCTTAGTACATTGTGATATTTTTCATTTATGTTTTCTCGATTATACCTAATTAAATTATTTGTGATTTTGGTTCCAATTTTATTTTTAGGATTTTCTGAATATTTTGATTTATTTCTTTCCAATACATATCCACCACATATGATAAAATGTTCTTTCTTTGTTATGGCATTTCCAGCATTTATTGTTATATGATTTGTTTATCTTGGTAATTGTTGATGGAGATGTATGCCATCTGTAAAACATTTTGTACGAATTTTCCCTTAAATTATTACTTGGAGTAAGTTTTATTGATTTTTTCCCCTACCTGTTCCCATTGTTGTATTGTGATTATTTCTTTGAAGTTTTATATCCCCTTTATCATTTAATTTTTGATTTGTTCAATCTCCATGTCATATTTCACTAGCAATTTATATAAACATCTTATAGGTGATTTTGGACTTGTATAAGTGTTTCAAATTCTGTCATCTTTTTCAAAATCAATCCCTCCCTCCCTCCCTAGACATCACTTTTTATTCTTCTGGTAATTTGTAAATATATCAGCCATGTTAAATTCCTACCTTCATTGAGTAGTTTTTGTTGTGTCTTTAGTCTGTTTCCTAAACCTGGATGTAACATGTTGGCATATGTGATTAAAACTTTGTGACTATAGTTGTCCCTGGGGTGAAGCTCATGGTGAAGATGCTGGACTTATTTTGGTGTTTAGAAGATTCCTTATTTTTATCAAATTTTGTCTTATAATGTGTCCTTTCACATTATTTGCTTCTTTTGTTTTATTATACCATAAGTACCTGTGAAGTCCACTGGCTAAGCCAGCTCCCTCTATGATTGATATTCTGCTATTTGGGGATATTATCCATTCTGTTATCCATGATAGACAGATTGCATGATCATATAATTTGAGGTTAAGAAATGCAAGACCACAGCTTTCTTTTGAATCTTGCAGCATTTTAAATTTTACTCTTGGGTTTTTTCCTGTTCCATATAAATCTGTTGACTTTTCCTTGCCAATCCTGCAAGATTTGTTTGAGAGTGGAATTGGTGCCATTTGGAATAAAAAGTTCATCTTAGTCATATGTTCATTTTTACTATTGTGATAAGTCCTAATGAAGAAAATTTTAGGTTTTTTCCTTATTTCAAGATCCTTTTTAAATTTCTTTCCATAATGTGTTATCATTGTTCTGAAATATGTCTTTGTTGCATCTTGTCAGATAAAGTCCCAAATATTTGACTTTTTTTTTAATCTCACAAACAGATTCTTTTTTCCAAAGTCTTCTTCTAGGGTTCTATATATTATTATTATTATCTTTGCTTTTCATTGATTTTGTAACTGGAAAATTCACCAAATTCTTTGATTGTATTTATCAGTTGTCTATAGTTGCACAACAGTTAGTACTGCATTCTCTGCATAGCATTTCAAATTGTATTCCTTTCCCTGAATTTTAATCCTAAATATTAGTTTGTCTTTCCAAATCTTTTCCACCAAAACTTCTAGAGCAATTGCAAATAATAAAGTGGACACCCTTGGTTGATGTCTTTGCTTAATAGAAAACATGTGATGAATGTTCCATTTGATGTGCTCTTTGCTAATTGCCATTCATATATGTTTTCCACCCAAGTTTTAAATTCTTCTCCTGGATTCATTTTGTTTAAAACTGCTAATAAGAAAGGCCATTCCAAGTTTTCAAAGGATTTTTCTGCATCTAAAAATATTATTGCTACCTTCTTTTTCTTACTATTGATGCGTTTATTACAAATCTAATAGTGTCATTCATTCTTCTACCTTTTTATTTTAACTATCTTCATTTTGTTTTAGTTTAGTGCATTTAACAATTTTACTTATTCTTTTCCTTTTATTTTTCCTTTATTTTCTTTTAAATATATTATTATTATTTAGTAATTTTAATATTAAGGTTAGAAGGTACTTTAAAGCCCTGGAATCCAATAATCTCAGACATCAACTGACAATGAAAGGTAATAATTGTTATAAATCAAACCTCTGGTTGGGGGATTTCTTTCCTTATTCAGTGCTAATTGTTTTATCTTGGCTACATTAAATACCACCCACTTTTACATGTGGATAGAGAGAGAAGGAAGTTGAATAGCATTAGAGGAAAATATTCTTGTAGGGGTAAAAGATTTATATAATATGAAGAGAATCGTAGTATTTTTAATAGACAATTAGCAATTAGCAATCTGTATGGTTAGATATACCACTTCTTTAGGAAAAGGTATCTTTCTTTCCCATCTGCCACATAGCATACCACATTGCGATTCTAAACTCATGGATATCTCTACCAGTGTATGCCACCATATATGGCTATATTCCTCTGAGCTCACATAAGAAGTGAAGATTTTCCATTCTATGATCTTTTCAGATCAAAAAAATACTATATGATTGACGGAATCCAGAAGTACAACAAAGCGTGGCATTTTCTTTTTGCCTTTCTTGCTGCCTCTACCAGATGAACACCATGTGTCCTTTCAGACTATTCCAAATATTTCTGTCCTGCTAAGCTTGGAAAGAGATATCTAGCAGCAATGTTTATCAGGGCTCAGCTTTAGTCTTGCATAAAGTTGATTACAATTCCCATAGTGACATCCAGCTGGAGGGCACATTGGTTTGTTTTTACAGTGCCCTGAAGCACATACAGTTAGTCCTTGCTTAGCGACTGCAATTGGGACCAGCAATTCTGTGGCTAACCAAAACATGACATGACTGCAACAGGCTTACAACTTCACTTCTGCAGTAGCAAATCACCATGGGTCATTAAGCGAGAAGTCATGTGACGACGACTTGGAAGCTGGCTTCTCCATTAACTATGCTTGTTGGAAGTTGATTGTGAAGTGCGCAAATGGCGATCACGTGACTGTGGGATGCTGTGATGGTCATAAATGTGAGGACTGGCCACTTTTTCAGTGCCATCATAACTTCAAACAGTTGCTAAACAGGGCAGCTGTTAAGTGAGGTCTACCCGTAACCAAAAAGAGGTGAGTACTCTTCAGTATTCTGAATGAGTACCAGATTAACTTCACTGCAGCAGTAATTTACAGTCTGATATTAAATGCTTATTTACTGCTAGTTAATATAAAGGGATCCAGTAGTGATGTATGGTTGTGAGAGTTGGACCATAAAGAAGGCTGAGCGCCGAAGAATTGATGCCTTTGAACT